CCTAACCAAGCATGTTCACATTTCAAAAATCATAGCATATCTGTTTTGGAAAAATTCTAGATCAAGGATTTTTTTTTGCAGAGATAGACCCACAGTGATTATGTACTCAGCTGTCCCTCACCTGTATCTGGTGGGCCGCACCACAGATCTTGTCACAGTCCAACTGCAATTCTCAATTCTACATTTACTGTTTTGTTGCATGAAACTATTAAGTCTCTAATTATCTGTCAAAGGAAGTTTCCCACCTGCCTTTTCCTTAGTTGGCCTAGGTCTGACTCTGAAACTAATCTGTGAAATTTAGAAAATAAGCATACAAACCCATTTTGTAGGCTCTAGACTGTTTTTTCCGCCCCCCCCCCCTTGTCTGGGTCTCTTGACAGTGTGAAACTAGGAGTTGTGATGTGTATCTAAGTGCTTATGATACATCGCTGTCTGAATGACTTCCCTGTAACAAGGTAAACTAGTTTGAGGCTGGCTCTCATAGTAGGGGGTACATTCACTACATCAGTGGCTCTCGATTCTGACTTGTCTGTCAGATAGGGATTGTTTATCTTCTTATGTATGATCGTCCAGGCCCTAACTGAGAGTTTTGATGTGGGCCTGAGCTAGGACCCAAGAGGCCTGTATGCTTTTTCAGACTGTGCAATTGATCCTCTTGGGACCCAGACTCACGCTTCCAGTTTACCACTAGATGGCGCCATCTAACAGCCTCCAAGGGAACTCAGGCTATTGTGGGCCTGCATCCAGTTGTAAATTTGGAATGAATTGTGCATTTATACTTACTAATTATCATGAATAGGGAAGCTTACTAGAATTATAAAGGAAAGCACAATAGCAAATCTTGAAAAGAACCAGAAAGGATTGCCTAATACATATTTTTTCAGTGACCGTATACACTCTTGAAAAAGGGGATAGAGGACGTCGTTTTCATTTTAAATAAACTTTTCTGGGGGCACCTGGGGGGCTTGGTCGGTAAAGCGTCTGCCTTCAGCTCAGGTCATGATCCCAGAGTCTGGGATCGAGTCCCGTGTCAGGCTCCCTGCTCAGCAGGGAGTCTGCTTCTCCCTCTGCCTCTCCCTCCTTTCCCCTCATGTTTGTGCACACTTGCTCTCTCAATAAATAAATAAAATCTGATTGTTTTGGGGCACGATAAACCATGCCCATATAAGATGGCGCACTTCATTGATAAACGTGGGTGTTGTGACTGTTCCACTGACCAGCCATTCCCCTTCATCCCTCTCCTTAGGACTCCTTAATCCCTGAGATACAATAATATTGAAATTAGGCCAATTAATAATCCCACAATGGCATGTAAGCATCCAAGCGAAAGGGAGAGTCGCACATCTGTCCCACGAAATCATAAGCTAGAAATGATCAAGCTTGGTGAAGAAGGCATGTCAAAAGCCTAGACAGGCTGAAAGCTAGGCTTCTGGAGCCGGTTGTCCATGTTGTGTGTGCAAAGGAAGAGTTCTTGCAGAAAATTAGAACTGCTACTCCAGGAGAGCCTGGCTGGCTCCGTTGGAAAAGCGTGCAATGCTTGATCTCAGGTACATTAGTTTGAGCCCCACATGGCTTGAGCTGAGAGATTACTTAAGCAAAAATAAAACTTAAAAAAAATGTGATACTCCAGTGAACACACGAATGGTAAAGCAAAACAACCTGATTGATTGCTGATGTGGTGAAAGTCTTACTGGTGTTCCAAGTTTTATTGGTCCTTCAGGCACCAGGCAGTATAGACTTTGACGATGAAGTTAAGGTTACTAATCAGCTGACATCAAAATAGGGAGATTGTTTGCAGGTGTTGCATGTACAGGGAAGGGGGGGGGTTGCCTGGTACAACCCTATGAGCCCTTTCAAAGAGAAGAAGGTCCAAGAGTCAGAGAGGTGCTGCAGAAGGGGAAGCCAGAGAGAATCTCAGCACGAGAAGGATTTCAGCCGTGTTGCAGGCCCTGCTGTGCAGGGGCCCAGATGCCAGCAGTGGCAAGAGTGGCCTCCGGGAGCTCTGGGGCCCCAGCCGACAGTGGAGAGCAAACACGTGGAGCCCTCAGTCCCACGACTGCTGAACAAGCTGTAGGAGCTTGAGGGGGATTGTTCCCCAGAGCATCCGGTAGGGGGCGCAGCCCCTACCCGCGCTGCGCTCTGGCTTCGTGGACCTGTCTCAGACTTCGGAGTTTACGGAACAGTGCGATAGTAAGCGGGTTGTGGTATCAAGGTAGTAAGTTTGTGATAATTTGTGAAGGCAAAAATGACTCCTACAAAGAACAGAAATCACGCTTCTGACACACCACCCGGTATTATTTTGTTTATTCCCTTCTGGGTTTGCTGATAAGTGCCCTTTGCTTAACGACAAACATAATCACATAAATGTTTGTGTCCTACTTTTTCTCTTGATCATTTCTCCATGTTGGTCCATAGTTTTCCCTAGGTGTTTCAGGAGATACATGTTGCATTTAACCTGTTGCACCTCTGTTTGCTTCGGGGTTTCGCCAGTGTGATACTGCATTGGGTGTTTGTGTGCATGTGGCCTTTCTTACATTGGAAGTTACTGGAGTAAATTCTCAGATGTATCATTACCCAGTCAGAGTCTGAGCCTTTTTAATACTCTTGTTATATATTGACATGTCTTAAGTGGCTTACCCATTTAAAAGTCTTTAGCAAAGATGGGAGAACTATTCATTATATTAGATAATACCGTTTTTCAAATAAGTTTTTTGTCAACAAGGAAAGGTAGTTAGTGGAAAGTTTTAAATTTAGGGGGTAAAGTTCCCTAAATTGTTCAAGAAATTAATGTTTAAGCTACTACTCTAAGTACTTTCAAGATATGAAGCTGGGTAGAGTACCTGATTTGAAGAAATAGAAGAGTGAAAACCAATTACTATGAAATTAGTCATGTTCCAGTTGTAAGAGATAGGAAACTAGTTTCTTAGATCAAAACCTATTTATAAATCTACTTGATTTTTTTTAAAGATTTATTTATTTTTAGAGAGAGTGAAAAAGTGCAGGGGGTAGGGCAGAGGCAGAGGGAGAGAGAAACACAAGGAGACTCCATGCTGAGTCTGGACCCATACGTGGGGCTCGAGCTCATAACCCTGAGATCACACTTGAGCTGAAACCAAGAGTCAGGCGCTCTACCAACTGCACCACCCAGGCACCCCAAATCTGCTTGACTTTTTATTAACAATGAATGCATGTACATTCTGTGGATAATACATTTCTGTCCTCTACATCTGTCATGCTGATTTCCTAATAGCTTTCAAAACCTGAGTTACTTTCTTATTGTGGGTATAACTAATTGCTCATTTTTTAGTTTTCTTATTTTTTCCCCAGCTTTGTAGAGGTATTATTGACATATATATAAGTGTAAGGTATATAACATGATGATTTGATACATGAACATATTGCAAAATGATTACCACAGCCCCCTCACAGAATTTCTTCGTGTGTGTGTGTGTGTGTGTAGTGACATTTGCGATTTCTCCGTATAACTTTCAAGGATATAGTCCAGTCCTGTGAATTAGAGTCATCATGGTATATATTAGATCCCCAGAACTTACTTGTCTCTCAGGTAGACGTTTGTACTTTTGACCAGCATCTCCCCATTTCTCTCAGCTCCTGACAACCACTATTCTACTCTGTTTCTGTGAATTCATCCTTTTTAAATTCCACGTATAAGGGAGAACATAAAGTATCTGTCATGTGGCATAATGCCTTCAGGTTCCATCTGTTATGTCACATAAGGCAGAATTTCCTCTTTTATGGCTGAATAACATTCTGGTTGTGTGTGTGAGAGGGAGAAAAATTTTCTTTATCCACTCATCTGTCATTGGATGCTTAGGTTGTTGCCATGTCTTGGCCATTATAAATGATGTTGCGGTGATCACAGGGCAGCTAGACCTCTCTTCAAGATGGTCATCTTGTTTCCTTTGGATATATACCCAGTAGGAGGATTGCTGGATCATATGGTAGTTCTGTTTATAGTATTTTGAAGAACCTCTATACTATTTTCCATAATGGGTGTACCAGTTTACATTCCCACCACCAGTGCACAGGGCTCCCCTTTCATGGATATGACTCACATTTCCAGCCTGAGTCCATTTCCAGCCAGGACATCAAAGCAAAGTGGGTTATTAGACTCAGAATAAAAGTTTGCCCCATACTAAAATACAAAGTACATATATTTTTTGCAACTAGAGGAGCTTATACCTTTAGTTTGTTCACATATAAAGAAGCAGTAAAGTAAAGTAAAAAGACACTGGATGGGAAATTAGAATTCCAGATTCTGATGCGTTACGTTGAACATGTCCCTTAACCTCTAAGCTTCTACTTTCTGTTCTTTAGCATGGGGTTGAATATGTTGATCACATGAAAAATGATCATATAGAAAGGTATGGAAGCATTTTGTATGCAGTGAGGGAGGCTATAAACTAAAGGTGCATGGTAGGAAATCATTATTTTGTCTCTGGTTTGAAAAATAAACGAGAAGGGTATCTGGCTGGCTCAGTTGGAAGAGTACGATTCTTGATCTCAGGGTTGTGAGTTTGAGCCCCATGTTGCTTTAAAATGAATAAGTAGGGGCGCCTGAGTGGCTCTTTCAGTTAAGCGTCTGCCTTTGGCTCAGGTTATGATCTCACGGTCTCGGTATCAAGTCCTGCATTGGGCTCCCTGCTCAGCAGGAAGCACACTTCTCCTTCTCCCTTTGCTGCTCCCCCTGCTGGTGCATGCGTGCATTCTCTCTCTCTCTCAGATAAATAAATAAAATCTTAAAAAAAAAATAAATAAACAAACTTAAAAATCTTTTTGAAAATTAAATGAGGAAATTCCCATAAAGAGAGAACAGCCCAGGGACATGGCGATAACCATTAGCTAGAATGCAAATGGACACAGTGACAAAGCTTTGGTACTAAAATGCTCAGTGTCTGAAAGAAAGTTTAATTGACCTGCTTTAGAGTCTGTACAGAAATAAAGTACATTCTAAATAAGTACATGTTTTTATTTTCTAGGATCAAATCTAAATCGCTGTGGTTTCCGAGGCTCTTCATACCTGGGTATTCCATTTAATCCGTCAAAGGTGAGTTATTCTCTGGGTCAGGAGGAAGGAGAAGGGAGGTGGGTGGATTTTAGTGCAAAAGAAAACTGAGAAATTATCCAGATAGACCCAAGCTTCCATGTTTCGATAGAGCTAAATACTATCTACTAATGTACATTGTAGCTACAGTTCCCCGTTTTTTTTCATGCAGTGTTTCAAAATTCTGGAGTAAATAGCAGTGATTTGGGAGAAGGCAACATGATATCACAGAGGCCCTACTTGAGCTTTCTTCCTCTGTCATAGGCTGTAGGTCCAATGCCTGCATCAAGGTCATATGAATTTGCTATGATTTCTCCAATCATGTGTGTCCATTGCTTTTAGCAGGGAATCTAAAAACAAAGGATTCGTAAACTAGGTTCTCTTTTTCCTATACATGTAATCTTTTCCAACAGATACCAGTCCTGAGGAAGGTTGCGTTCTCTTTACTCCTCATGGACAGGCTATCTGGGTGCCATGACACATGCTCATCGTGACCGCTCTGTAGTGCCATACCTTATGTATACCTGCCCTGGCTGAAATAAAACAGGGTTTTGAGAACATACTTTTATTTTTTTAAAGATTTTATTTATTTATTTGACAGAGAGATCACAAGGAGGCAGAGAGGCAGACAGAGAGAGAAGAGGAAGCAGGCTCCCCGCCGAGCAGAGAGCCCGATGTGGGCTCCATCCCAGGACCCTAAGACCATGACTTGAGCCGAAGGCAGAGGCTTAACCCACTGAGCCACCCAGGCACCCCGAGAACATTACTTTTAAAACCCAGTCCCTTTCCTCTTGCCTCCTCTACCCCCAAGACATTTTTAAACTAACAGGAGTAAAATTGAAGAAGAAACCATTTTTGCCTTGGTTTACAGAGTCTCCTAACATCCGTTTTTGGTCCTCACTCACCTAGACCACTGGCATCTTCTGGGGAGGCCAGGTCACACTCTATGCCACATTGTGCTCATCTGAATTTGAGTAGTGGTAGGAGCAAGAGACTCCAGGGGACTCATATTGGCCCCCCAGGAGTTGTCACTGGGAGTGCTTGCCTGAGAGTCTGCAGGAATCTGAGCAGGCACATAAGATTGTCCGATAAAGTATATAAATACAGTAGTGTCAGCAGCTTTTCTTCCAAAACCACCAAACTCACCTGCAGGCCGTTGCCTTACTGGTAGATGCCCAGGACCTTCGGTGGACATAGAGTACTTTTTGAGAAACACTTTTGGATCCTCTCAGCCCACTTTTCTCATTGTTTTCCTTCACAAACTCTGTGTTCTCTGCTAAATTATGTGTTGTACCTAATATATGCTAGATACCCAGAATTTTCTTTCTCCACTTCGCTTTTACTTTTAGCTTTTTTGCTTTTACTTTTTCTCTACCTAGAAAGCCTCCTCTCCTTTCCACCCACCAAGCTCCTCTTCTGCTGTAGAAAAAAATCCCTTATTTAAATCTTTGTGTTACTGGGGTCTCTGGCTGGCTGAGTCAGTAGAGCATGCAAATCTTGATCTCAGAGTGTGAGTTCAAACCCCAACTGGGCATGGAGCCTAAAAAAAAAAATTGAAACAGTCTTCAGATTTAACTAACAGAAGATTAGATGACAATTAAAAAGAATAAATCTTGGGACACCTGGGTGGCTCAGTCAGTTAAGCATCTGCCTGCAGCTCAGGTCATGATCTCAGGGTCCTGGGATAGAGCCCTGTATGGGGCTCTGCTCAGTGGGAAGCCTGCTTCTCCCTCTCCCTCTGCCTCCTGCTCCCCTGCTTGTGCACACTCAGTGTTAAATAAATAAAATCTTTAAAAGGAAAAAAAAAAAGGTGAATCTTGGTGTTACTCCAGCTCCCTCATGACACTTACTACATTCTACTCTGTATTGTAATTACTCCATCAGACCCTTTCTTCTGCCCTTACGGTTAAGCTCCACATTTGATTTCTGTTTGGATTCCCCACAGTGCTTTTAACATGGTAGATGTTTAGTTGAAGTACCAAAAACTGAAATAAGCTGTAGGAGTTCTAGGCAGGCTATTATAAATGTGGAATGGAACAGCCGGGAGTGCCAGAGTATGAGCTCTAGGGAGGAACACAGAATGAAAGGGTTAGCAAGATGAAAATTTTTTGATATGTATGTGAGACCACATAAAGAATTGTATATGTAAGGCCAGGTGGGTGGGGCAGGTTCCGATTAGAGAAGGTATTGAACACATTGCATATCTGTTGCATGAGGAACCACAGAGGGTGGGTGTGCAGGAGAACAATGGGATTCACTCCCTGGTGGTTCCAGGAACCTAGTTCATGACTCCTAAGAAGTAGTGGCCCTTTGGGTATTTGCCTTGTAATTGCATCATCATCAGGATAACTAGTATCCCTGTGATGGTAATTTTATTAAATTCTCACAGTAACCTTGTGAGGGAGGTGCTGATATCCATTTTCCAGAAGGAGGAAGTGAAGTGAGCCAATGAGTAGTAGAGCCAGGATTTGATGCATATCAGTGGTTGTAGAAGTGAACGCTTATTATAGTGGGTAGAGGAGTCTGCTTCAACCAAAACGGTACAAGTTTCACTTTGGCTTTCTAGTATGATAAACAATTTTTCTAGAAGTTGAAGCAGTTATTGATGAACCCAGACTCAAATAGAAGGGAAACCTATGACAGAGATGAATTTTAAAATATGCGTGTATCCTGTCAAAATTAAAATGTTCTTCATTGTGTGTCAGCTGTACTTCAATTTAAAAAAAAAAAAATTAAGGGTGCCTGGATGTTTCAGTGGTTGGGCCTCTGTCTTCGGCTCAGGTCACGATCGCAGGGTCCTGGGATCGAGCCCTGCATTGGGCTCTCTGCTCAGCAGGGAGCCTGCTTCCCCCTCTCCCTCTGCGTACTTGTGATCTCTCTCTCTGTCAAATAAATAGATAAAATTAAAAAAAAAAAACAAAACTTAAATTATTCTTTTTTTTTTTTTTTTCTTTATTTGAGAGTGCCTAGGTGGCTTAGTCCATTAAGTGTCTGCCTTTGGCTCAGGTTGTGATCACCAGGGGCCTGGGATCAAGTCCTGCATCATGCTCCCTGCTCTGAGGGCAGCCTGCTTCTCTGCCTGTGCCTCTCTCTCTCCATCTCTCAAATAAATAAATAATTTTTTAAAAAGATTTTATTTATTTATTTGACAGAGAGAGGGAACACAAGCAGGGTGGGGGGAGCAGGAGAGGGAGAAGCAGGCTTCCTGTTGAACAGGGAGCCCAGTGTGGGCCTCGATCCCAGGACCCTGGGATCATGACCTGAGCCGAAGGCAGCCACTTAATGACTGAGCCACCTAGCACCCTAAATAAAATCTTAAAAAAAAAAAAAAAAAAAAAAAGATTTATTTATTTGAGAGAGAGGAAGAGAGAAAGGGGGAGGAGGGGCAGAGAAAAAGAGACAATCCTGAAGTAGACTCCCTGCTGAGTGTGGAGCCTGACGTGGAGCTCAGTCCTCCCACCCTAAGATCATGTCGGGAGCCAAATCCAGTCGGCCATTTAGCCAACTGACCCACCCTAGTGCTCCAAAACTTAAAATATCCTTAAGCTGACAAATACGTTTATACAGTGTGAAATTTTACAAGTGAAATCTTTTTTTAAAAATAATTGATTCGTAGGCTTGGCTGATTATTTGAAATTAATTATATAACTCTAAATGCTTGGGGCGCCTGGGTGTCTCAGTGGGTTGGGCCTCTGCCTTTGGCTCAGGTCATGATCCCGGTGTCCTGGATCAAGTCGCAAGTCGGGCTCTCTGCTCGGCAGGGAGCCTGCTTACCCCCCCTCTCTCTGCCTGCCTCTCTGCCTGCTTGTGATCTCTGTCTGTCAAATAAATAAAATCTTTAAAAGGAAAAAAAAAAACTCTAAATGCTTTATATACGGTGGAACGTCAAGTTACTTGGTGTAATAAACACTTTTTATGTCCAGTTTTATCATTGCCGGTGCCAGTACCTAGATTCTTTGCAGGATTTCCTACTTTGTCACGTATTTTGTAGCCTAAGAGATCTTTGTTAACTGTCGTTATCTTTTGTTAAAACAATCAGGTCCGTGAAACTAATCGAACATACTATGGGGTAACAGTTATTCTAAGTGCTGATGTTTATTAGAAGCTCAAATAACTTAATTGTAAATGAGAGCTGAATAAGGTTTTTCAGTTGTATTGTTTTATAATATTTTTATATGGTGATTACTGTGATATTGGAATTGTTCAGTAAAAGAATTTTTAGTTCTTTTATAAACCTTTTTTGATTGAAAGACTGTATGCTTTTCTAACTTCACGAGACTTAAGTTAAAAGTAATACGGTTGACTGCATACGGAGTTCAAATACTTTGGCTCATTTGTGTATCAGAACTGCTTCCAAGAAGCTTGAGGTTTGCAGGATAAATTAAAAAATTGTGTAGCCTGGAAAGCCTGCATTCGTACTTACTCTGAGACCTACAAAATGGAGGTTTGTTTTTTTTCAGTCAGGTGTTGGTATAAGTCAGTACCAACATTTAATTTTACTAGTTCCTGAAACGTAGTGTCAGATTACGTAATGAAAAGTTTTCAGTTTACTAGTTAATTAACATTATGTTAATTTTGAATTTAGAATCCTGGAACAGCTCATCCTTACGATAGTGGCCACATAGCAATGACCTACACGGGCCTTTCATGCTTAGTTATTCTTGGAGACGACTTAAGCCGAGTAAATAAGGAAGCTTGTTTAGCAGGCTTGAGAGCCCTTCAGCTAGAAGATGGCAGGTATGGGTCCATCACTCTTCCGTTTTTCCCTTTTCTTTTTTTTGGAAAAATTTTATAGAACTGAAAAATGGGTATAATTCTTTATGAGAACTTTAGAGTTTATCATAAACCCTTTTAGAATCCTTTCAAGTTCACTGTATATTCCATCCCTAATCAAAAAATAATATAAATTTTCCTGTTTCAGTAGAAAGAAATCACAGTAGCAGAGCTCCTTGTTTGTTCTCTTGTTTTACCTGAGATAGTGAATACATTCATAAAGAAGTGGTTGAATGGTTTTAATATTAGGAAGGACTTCAATTTACCTTCTGGGTGAAAAACTTGGATATTACGAAGTGAGCATACATTTAGTCTGAACTTCTGTTCCTTAAGACACAGTGACTGTTGGGAGAAAGGAAGGAACATTGACTGCTATATTCTAGCGTAGGTAGTTTCAGTGACATTTGTAAAGAATAGAAAAAGAACTTAGTAACAGTTGGTGGTTTATATGGTATGTCTAAGGAATCTTCCTGGAGTTCCTAGGAGTTAGGTGAAACTTTCTTTTCCCCGCAAATCTAGGAAGTGGCAAAGCAGTAATGATAATGTCTAGGGAAAAGATTTTGCAGATCAGTTCTGCTGTATTATGTCAGTGCTCCATATCTCTGTTTCCCTTTGAGGGTTTTAGAAAACACTGCTCTTGATGAGGGGAAAACTAATGTAGACTTGCAAGATAAATTGTCATTAGTTGGAAATACTGTAGAACTGAATCTTTACCTTAGCTAGTGCATGTGACTAGAATCTCAAAGTTTCCATATAGTCATTGATGACTGCAACCCTTTCCTTGTTTGTAAATAAAGGAATAGATAGCAGACTCAGACTGTTACCTTGCTAAACCTAATGAAATAGGTAAAAAAAAATTACCATACAATATTGTCAAGTAGTGGTTATCTACATACACATTTAGAAGAAATTTCACATGTCAAAACTTGGGTTTGGGGATTTCTTACTACCCTATGGGTCCTAGGTGCTTTTCCCCTCATTAGTTCTCAAGCTAGTGTGCCACAACTGTCTGTGATAGGGAGCAAAGAAACTGAGTAGCTGGCAAGTGTGTAAAGCTACCCAGAAATCAGAACTTTGAAATGAAACAGTGATTTGGTAAATCATTTACTATTATTCAAGTTAATAGTCCTGTTCTTTATTGACTAATACAAGTAGTATATGGTTTTTAAATTCGTCTTTAATGATGGGTTTTTCTGTGAGTAAAAACGTGAAGTAATAGGTGTTTCTCGACCCTCCCCCCTTCACAAAAGAAATAAAAACTAAATTATAGTGTGATGTAATTGTAAATCATACTGTTACTCCTTCCAGCTTCTGTGCAGTCCCTGAAGGCAGTGAAAATGATATGCGATTTGTATACTGTGCCTCCTGTGTTTGCTATATGCTGAACAATTGGTCTGGCATGGATATGAAAAAAGCCATCAATTACATCAGAAGAAGTATGGTGAGTTATGTTGATAAATTGACTATTTTGGCTATTATTATCGCTGTATGGGGACGGCAGTATAATACATGTCCCATCTCTCCTCCACCGAGAATCTGGAAAAAAGGGCAGTAAGGTTGCTTTTTGGATACCTTGTTTAATCAGAACAGCCATTTAATTGTAAAGGACAGATTGCTTCACTGGCCATTAAAATTCAAATGTCATTTGATTGTATCTAAGGAAACAGATGGCTTTACTAGAAAGAGATTGGTCAGCCTTAGAAGCAAAAAAAAAAAAAAAAAGAAGAAGAAGAAGAAGAAGAAATAAAATCTCACAGGCCCCTGTTTGATAGTCTTGGCTAGCAGGGGTCAGTGCAGAGCCCCAGCTAGGCAATGGAAAATGATGACACGTTGACGAGACTCTTTCTATATCTGGTGGGAGGTGGGAGTTCAGTAAGCCATTTGATGTGCAAGAACCAAATATAACAAGATTGACTGGGCTAACAATAGATTTTGGGATCTTTTTGTTAATACTTGTATGTGTGCTTTTTTTGTTTTTAACCTAAGGTTTATTTTAAGGCAAGTATCAAATAGAAGTGCTGTTCTTTCAGGATACAACTTAATCTTTTCATTGGCAGTAGTTAGTCTAAGCCGGAATTATCCTTGCTCTACTTTTTCATCTCTTCCATGAAACCGAGACATAGAAATGTTACTTCCCAGGTTTATTACTTCCCAAATCTGAAGTTGTAGTTTTATAGATGAGACTATTTTAGGCTGTTAACTCAACTTCTACTAGTCAGTATTTCAAAATGAAAATTAAGTTCTTAGAAGAGTGACATTTTTTTAACTGAACGTGTGATTATGGGCTCAGTTCTTGTAGGATCTGCAAGAGCCCAAATTTTGGAGGGCCAGTGGAGCAGACAGAACAGGCCCTTTGAGGAGCTTCAGAGGGAGAGGAGGTTTCTCTTCAGTAGAAGGATGGGTGATGTGTGTTTTGGCGTGACTGCTGCAGTGATGACAACTGGGTTCTTCTCAGTTTGTGGTATTTGGAAATACAGCCTGTCGATTTGCCCCGCTACCAGAGATGGTGACTTTGGATCACCGGTTAAGGCAGTGTATGCCGTGTCTTTCTCTCGAAAGTGAGCATTTCTCAGCTTGTCATTATGCAGTATCCTCTGGCAAGGGATTTGGAGACTGTTAAATAACCTGTCCCAAATCAGACTTTTATCTGCTAGTGGTGGTCTGCAGTTGATGGTCTTCCAGCTCCGTCATTCCTTCTGTAATTTTCAGTTGAAGTTCCGCTTTTAGAGAAAGCTTTCTCTTTACATCTGTCTCCATCACTTAGAACTCTAGATTCTTATTTTATCCAGTGGGCTGTTACCTGTTACTGTCATTACTTATTCTGATGGCCATGTTGTCCCACATTCAGCCAATGCGAGCCCCTTCGAGGAGATGCTTGTACCTTTTTTTTGGTCTCACCCCCTTCATTCTTTGAGAAGCAGTTTGCTTTCTGGCTCAAGATTTTCCAGGTTGATCTTGTACTTCCCTAGCTGTAGTCCTGGATTCGGTCATTTCAGCAAGGAGGCCTGGTTCCTACTGGAGGATGGTGTGTAGAAACGAGGATTTGGGCACGATAGCTGTGCTCATGGGTGTTGGGATACCATGGCTCCTAGTCTCTCTCTCAGCAGGCTGAGCGAGGAAATGTACGTATGCGTGTGTCTATGCACAGAACCCCCCGATTTGCACCTTCTCCCCTCTGTCTATTTCCTTATCTATATGTGCATTAAAAAACATATGAGTCCTATTGACAGCTCAAATTTCAGTCCAGCACCACAGTTCTTTTTTATCTTCCTCCTTTCTTTCTATAACTCCCTTCTCCGACAGTGAGCAGTCAGTCTGGTTCCCATTATCCAGGAGACATTGGCTCTTTTGTTTTGAACCTGATATCTGAGAGAGAGATATATATATACATTTGAACCTGATACATAGTCAAAATACCATATTTAAGAAATACTTTAATGGGCTCCTGGCTGGCTCAGTGGGTAGAGCCTGCCCTTCTTGACTCTTGGCTATGCGTTGGAGCCCCGCGTTGGGTGTAGAGATTACTTAAAAAGATTACTTAACTCTTAAAAAAAAAAGAAAAAACTTGAGTTACTTCTTTTATTCTCCCCCCCTTTAGTATGGTTATGTTTTTTTATTTAAAATACAGCTAAGTTTGTGTTTGGGCTCCATTTTGGGGTTTTCTCCCAATTTTTGTTTTTTGTTTTTTGTTTTTTTTTTACTTGACAGAGATCACAAGTAGGCAGAGAGGCAGGCAGAGAGAGAGGGGGAAGCAGGCTCCCCGCTGAGCAGAGAGCCGGATGTGGGGCTCGATCCCAGGACCCTGGGATCATGACCTGAGCTGAAGGCAGAGGCTTTACCCCATTGAGCCACCCAGGCGCCACAGTGTTGTTGATTTTTAAAAATTTACTTACTATGTGAAATACTGACTTGGTTCTGGAAGTCAGAACTACACAGAAAAGGGTATTCCAAGATGGGTTACTCCTCTCCTCCTGTCCCTTCTCACTTGCCCCCTTCCTCACTCTCGTATTTGCCACCTTGTTCTATTCACTCTGTAGGGAACCAGTCTCATTAGTATTTTCTTTGTCCTTCCTGTATTTGTTCTTGATGAGCAAGTATGTCCATTTTCGTTTCTCCTCCCTTCTTGCTCACCAGGTAGCACAGCGTAGATGCTTAGTTTCATAGTACTCCATTGTGTGCACGTACCTAGTTTTTTGAACTGCTCTGTGCATGGAACATGTATTTTCCATAGACAAACAATGTTGAAGTTAATAACCATCTGCATATACATTTATGTATTTGTGGAGATCTTCAGAGTGAATTCCTAGTAGTGTACTTGCTGGACCAAAAGATGAATGCGTATGTAATTTTACTAGACGTTAACCATTTTCTCTCCAAAAAGGGTGGACCAGTTTCTGTTCCCACCAGTGCAGGAGAGTGCCTGTTTCCACACCACCTCACCAAAATAGCGTGTCATCATCCTTTTTAATTTTTATCAGTCTCGTGGTTGAAGAATGATCTTTCAGTGTATTTATTTTTAATTTGTATTTCTTTTCTTATGAGTGAGCTTGGCCATTGTCTTTACTCCAGGATGATACAGGACCAGGCAGAGGCACCTGTAGCCTGTAGCCCAGTTTGCTAACTCCAAGCTCCAGTCCATTAGTTTGCTTTTTCCTGTAGGGACTCCAGTTCTGTGCGTGCTTTTTCTTCTCTGCTTGTCTTTGATTTCAGTCACTTTCTCTCTGACCCTTTTTACTGCTATATCTTAGTTTTAGTCTCTTGGCTGTTTTCTGCCTTGTCGTCAGTGTCCCTTACTGTTTTTTCTTTTGAGACTATTATTCCTTGGTCGTCGTCTTCCTTATTTTCTTCCATTTCTTTTCTGAAGTCATTGAACTCCATTTATTTCTTCCTACTGTTTGTGCTTTCTGTTTTTAACTTTTAGTTTCCTTTTCATATTCCCAGGTGCTTGCTTGATAACATGCAGCCGAGTCTGGGCTAATGTATTACAGTGTTCTTCTGCTTTATGGCCATTTTGGGGAGGCGAGGGCAGATTTTCATACACCAAGATGTTTTCATTCCATTTGCTGTGTTTTCGTTTCAGAGTTACTTTATATAGATTTGTCTCTTTGTTTAGTCATTTTGTGGATGTTCTTTTTTTTCTTAGAAAAATTTCTGTTTAAGAGTATACTCTTTCTAGTCAACAAAGCATGATTTTTTAAATTTAGAGTTTGTGTGGGGTTTGATTTTTTTATTTTTTTTTCATATTGGGGAAAGTGTGTGTTTCATGATTTTCTGGTAGGAGAGAGGTTCTCTTGTTTCTCATGTCTCTGAGTGTTGCTCCTTTGGTGTCCTTTATTACCTGATCTTTGGAGGGCCCATCTTTCTTCTCTGTTGACTTGATTCATCAAAGTCACGCAGTCTGACCAGCGCACCGTCTGAAGTCCCCTCCCTGCAGTCTGCGCTCTGTTGTTCCAGAGCTCATGCAGTCACGGCCGTGCTTGCTTGGCATGGTGGGGCTGGCTGGTGACGGGGACCGTGACCCTGCCGGCTGACATGCAGCCCAGGATCTGAATCACTGGGGAGATCACCAGTGCTCTGGGGCCTGTGCTGCTTTTTGCCATCACATCACAAACTCTGGGAGTCATAAGTGTGTGTACAGAGAAGTGTGAAGTGGTACCACCAGTCTTTAGTATGTTGTACTATTAAAACATTAAAAATATTGAGAGTTAAAGTGTTTTCTTTGTAAAAAAACATACATATATATATGTATATATATGTGTGTGTATACGTATATGTATCTATGAAGTAGTTTGGGCAGTGTTTGCCTTGTTTCCTTACGTGACTTAGGACAGGGAGGGAGCATCTTTTCTGTCTGGGTAAATGATCAGACTCCGTCCTAAGTTTATAGCAGTTGCCAACACTTTCTCCTTTGTGTTTTTGTCGTCGTGAAACATCTCCAAGGATTCCTTTCCCGTGAAGTGTTTTGGCAGCGTCTTCGCCCTTTGCGTCACAGCTGCGGTCCTCGCTCGGGCAGGTGCCCGCCTTCACGGAGTTCTTCTGACGGCGGCTCCAGGCGCCTTCCCAGGAACAGCCGTTTTTTTCCGTAACTCTGTGTTTGAGCTGCTTCTCGTTTCTTGCTTTGGTGGCCAGTCTTCTTTCAGTTCTGCCTTTTCAGAGAATGTCCTGTGGGTTTCTTACTAAGACAGAGGAGGAGACAGCACAGCCGTACAGGTTGCCGGCTGTGCATAAACTGAGTGAAGATGTGTGCAGTGCCCAGTTACTAAGACTCTGAAAAAGGTGGGCCTGGTTACTCATGGTGACGTGCACCTGTCGTTTGCGTGGTCATCTGTAAACTGAGGCGCTCGCCGCAGGCTGGTAGTCTGTGCAGTTGCTCATAGTTAATATGGCGTACTCGCGGAACTAGGACCAGATCGTGTTGTTCGGCTAAGCAGTGCTACCTGAATTTGTGCGCGTCCGAACTGCATAAAGACTGCTGGTGTTTCGCTCTTAGGGTGGACCTTCTCCCTCTGGTGGGAACTTTAGATCCATCCCATGCCTACCATTGACGTCCTCCTCATTTTCCACAGACTTGCCTTGCTCTCTGCAAAGGGGTGTCAGGAGTGGGAGAGGCAGCTTGCTGGGGTTGGAGGTTTCTTACTCTGTAGACAGGTAATTTAAAGCTCGTACATGTCTTCCAGCTTTGCTGAGGTTTCAGTTTTTTATAGTTGTGTTGTTGTTCTGTTCTGATTTTATAGGATTTGTGGGGAGATCCACGTTTAGGCAGGTGCTGTTTTCCTCGGCTACCCACAAGCCTCAAAGTAGACCTGTTCCATGTTCATAATAATTTATTAGTATAGCGTCTTTACATTTTCCTTAAACTTGTATAGTCTGGCAAGGAGGAAAAGAATAGGGTTGGGGTTTTCATTGGGTAGAGATCGAATATCTAGATGCCATCTTTGAACAGTCTGTCTCAGAATGTGCCTACTGTATGCATTTAGTGCTTTGACTTGATGAATAAGCCAAGACCTGGTACTTGAAAATGCCTACAACTACTCCTTTGGGGGAAAGTGAATATTTTAGGAGATATGAGGGAGAAACCAAAATCAGTCCAGAGACCAAAAATTAGCACAGTGAGGACTTACTTATTATTTCCCTATTAAACTGAACAATGTTTTTCTTTTTCAGTCCTATGACAATGGGCTGGCACAGGGAGCTGGACTTGAATCTCATGGTAAGACATCTTAAAGTAAATGAACGTGTAGTTTCTTTTGTTCCTTTAAATATCATAATGGTGTCTACGACATCGAGCACCCTGGAAGTTTGCCTCAGCCCATGGTTGTTGTCTTTCCTACTTCTCTCCTTTGACACTTTATGCCACTTGGAACGTCTTCTAGGTCAGTCATCCGTCCGAGAATGTTCAGACTAGGATATTTATACTTTTCTAGTATTTTCAGGTTATGTATTTGACTGTCCGCTGCATGGTAATGTCCTGGGGTGATTTCTTAAAATAGCACTAGAAGACAGCAAGTTTTCTTTTTTGGCATAACACCAAAAAGCTAGATGCAGAATATTAAGTGTGAATCAATGAACTTGTGAAGAAATGAAAATGTTTTGTTTACTTTTCTTAATATAATAATCCTTAGTCATTGCCATAAAACATTTTGCTGTATAGTAAAATGTTCTGTACATAAATTAATGCAATTTCTCCTTTCACCCTTTTCCCCACTTGGGGTGGAATCAGAATAGGGAGATGATATACTTAGTCTATCAGTACATCAATGGCCTGAGGTTTTTCAAATTGAGTATGTCCATGTAGGAGTAAGCTGCATGTTCCTTTTTATTTTCTTTTATTTTTTGCATGCTCCTATTCAATTTTTTTTTTAAATTTCTTTCTTTCCTTTTTTTTAAAGATTTTATTTTTAAGTAATCTCTACAACTAGCATAGGGTTTGAACTCACAGTCAGCACTTGCATGCTCTACTGACTGAGCCAGCCAGGCTCCCCAGCCGTGTTCCTTTCTTTAAAAAGAAAGAGCCTAGATCAAGGAGGCACCCTGAGTGAACACCTTAAGGTTCCTCTTTATTTTGGCAGTCTCTTTGTGCTCGCCTTTTGTGTCCCTCCCTCTGGCAGCATGGGAGTGGCGGGAACAGATCTCAGAAAGAACAGGTCTCAGCCCTGATACCTGCTTGGGACCTGGCCCCTTGCTTATTCTCTCTGAGGGTTTCCTCGTTGACAGACAAGAAATAATTGGACCTTCCTTTAATTTTAAAATTGTTGCTAGGATTCTGAGATAAGGGGGGAATGTGGTTTGGAAACTATAAAACGTGTATAAAATGATACTTTTCACATACACTCCCTGACCCATATCGTTGTACTTCCCTGAGACCTTGTCCTATCTGGTCTTCTCCCTCTCACACATCTGCACTCCCTCCTTCAGTGTCGATATTTGCAGAGTGCTTATTGCGAAGGGCCTTGTAGAAGACAGTCTCGATGTTTCCTCTGCAGCTGTGCTATAATCAGGACACCACAATTCCCGTGTGTGCCTACACTTGGATGAGACTGGGCTTGGGGCAAGCTGTAATAGCAGTCACTGGTCCTCACCACTTGGTGAGGAGGATATGTACTTGTAGGTGCACAGAGAGGAAATCTGGCGTCTGTGAATTTCCGAGAAGCCAGGGTCTTGTGCTCAGTATTGCAGAGGGTGTTAATGATCACTTTGGCCGAGGACAGACGTCACCAGTATTGGAGACCTGTGGAACAGATGCTGTGGGTCCCAGGAAATGGGGATTGCATTTGTTGGGACGTGAAGCAGAGGGCTGCTCAAACATGATTCTCGCTGACAGATCCTGTCAGGAAAACGTGTCTCGCTGAGTCACTCTAGTAGTGATTTTAAGTCTATACGACTTGAGTAGGATTACACCCATTGAGATCAGCAGCCGTGGACTGTGGTTGGTGCCAAAAGCTTCTGTCTGTCTTCCTTTTCTCTTTGATTTGTTTGGTGGGCTTGAGACCCACAGCTCCAGAGGAGGGCGTCCTACTCAGGGTGCCACAGTGGGCTGGCGTCCTGCAAATGGGCTCCAGGAACACCCAGGTACCGCTCCCTCCACCTTGCGTGTCTGGAGCCCCCTCTCAGGACACCACAGTGTGCGCACGCAGGTCAGGTGTCATGTTCTCTGGGTGCTGTGAGGTTTGATAGGCTAGGGAGCCTGCTCTGGAGGCCCTTGGTGTGCCTTCCTTCCCTGCCTTCTCTCCTCTCAGCACTGGCCAGCGAGACCTCCTCCTCAGAAGTCAGCCTGCAGGTTGGCTACCCCTGCATGCCTTTGTCTTCTTCCTTCTTCTTCTTTGTCTTGTTAGTCTTTTCAGAGAAATAAGCCAAATACACTCTTCGCCCTTCTCCACAAGTGGCTTTTCTTAAGCTTTCTGTATAAGCCCCAGCAGCTTATGGAGTTTCTTTTGTAAAATCCCTCGTGATCGAGAGATTTCAAGCCCATTGTCACTGTCTCACTCCTCGCCTCGTGTTTCCTGAAGCACCGGAAGCTGTTAGCCTCTCCCCTGCATTCTGGAAGTGTCAGGTTCTTCTTGCCGGCTTTCTCAATCGCTGTTTCTGGCTCCTTCACCACGCTTGTGTCTTCTTCCCACTCACTTACCTGGACCCACCTTTCTTCTTGCCTTCGGGTGGTTCCTCTTTCTGAATCTCAAAGCCCTTCCTGGACTTGTGGTTCTTTGTACACAGAACCCTCCGCCCTCACCTCTAGCTTACACTCGGCTCTTTCATATCCCTCAGGTCCTGGCTCCAATGATTGCTTTTAATTGTCATTTTTGAGATTGCAAACCGCCCACACACACTCTGTTGCCCATCCTCCTCTGCCCTTGTTTTTCTCTATATTCTGTTTTATCGTGTGTGTATTTTTCGTGTGCGCAAGAGGACAGAGATCTTTGCCTGTTTCAGTCACTGTTGTGTCCCCCTCACCTAGAACATGCAGTATGCGCTGGGATGAACTATGGTGGTTTTATTGGTCCCCTCCAGAACGCTCTTCCGGATCTGTCCTTTTGCTTCGGAGCTGCAGGGCGCCCTCCCCGCCTGCCGGCCAGGTACATGCCCTTCCGTAGCTCTTCAGTGTCATAAGCTGCAGTTTTAAAGCCATCATTTTTTCGTTCCTTTCTCTGGTGCCTGCATTTGCCCCTCAGGAATGTGAAACAACTACTTCCAGATCTACTGGTTTTTCAGTTCATAGAAGCCAGAAGTCCGGAACTCGGGGTGTTTGATCTCGTGTTCTGTTTTGTTTTGTTGTTTTGTTTGCCTGTTTGCAGTTATGCCAGTGTTCTCCCGTAGGTCGCCTGTTTATAATCCTTGATCTACAGACTGAAAGGACTGGAATTTACGATGAAGCAGTTGCTCATCGTAACTGTGCCAGCTACCAGTTAGTCTCATTTAGTCCTCGCACCAGCCCTCTGGGAGTGTGAATGGGAGTCACATCTTTGTGTGACTCAGATTCCACCAGGGACGCGAAACCCCATGAATAGTAAAGAACCTGGGTTTATCCTGGGAATAAGATTGTACACGACTTTGGAGGAATCTGGAGAAAGAAGGACCTAAAGGGGAAGTTGGTGGAGGGGAAGTCACTGACAGGCCATCCTGCAGCTCTGGCCCGGGTGGACAGCGAGACCTGGCAGGAAAATCTGGAAGGTCAGGGGCATCCAGCAGCCAGAGCAGGGCTGTGGTAGAGGAGTTTGGTGGGGGCTGTTGCTCCGGCATCTGACTGTGGGTGTTGGGTCACCAGGGCAAGTAGTAAAGCAGACTTGCATTCCAAGTATGTGGGAGAATCAGGGCAAGGTGCAGTCTCCTGGCACCTCTCTCTTTTTGTCTCTTGGCTCCTTGAACCACAGCCAGCATAGTGTCTGCTGCTTCTCTCTCTTTCCACGGATCCCACCCAGACTTGGACTACAGACCCCATAGGGAAGCACTTCAGGCCGAGCCGGGTGGGCACGGTAGCAAACCACCACAGTAACCGTTGCCATTTTTCTCAGAGTTGGGACTTCCTCAGTAAGCTCATCTATCATCGGGTATGTGGCGTAGCCCGCTTGAAGCCCTGTGCATGCTCAGCAGGGCCTTTCTGCCTACGTTTGCATCCCTCATTTAGTTCTCCGTGTCCGCTTCCAGCCTCGCTTCGTAGTCGCACACGTGAGCCACCCTTCTGTGTATCCCAGGCTGCAGGGAACATGTGTTCCCCAGATGTTCTCATGTGCCTTTTCCCCTCGGGACGTTGCTGACATTCTTCCCTTCCCTGAAATCATCCCCTTCCACTTGCTTCTCCTCTTTTCCCTTTTTCTCACCTTCCGAGTTTTGCCAATCTGCCTTTGGCTGATTCCATTCTCTTTGAAGCATTTTATCATCTCTCAGCCCCTGGCCCGGAGCAGTGCCTCCCTTTTCCGTATTCCAGCATACTTGGTTCATACCGTCTTCATGGCACTCCGTTTGCCTTAGCGGCTCTACCACTTTGTGAGCCGGTAGGTCTCATTAGCGTCCAGCCCTGTACCATGCGGCTGGCTGTCCAGCAAGTGTTTGAAGTGGCTGCCCTCTCTCCCACTCGGCATCCCGAAGCTTGGGAGGCTGGGTGGGCTGCGTCCTTCTGCTGCAGGCTGTTCTCCCAAGACTGCTTAGCTGAGACAGCCCATTTGTCCTGCAGACCAGACAGGCACACAATACCCTTCTAGGCTGTGGTCATCAGATGTGAGGATTCCTTCTTAGCCTAGTGAGACTCTTAAGCGTTAGCACAGTTGTACGGTAAAGTGGTCGTGTGTTTGGATTTGCTTTGCTAGGATTAAAGCTATTGTCTCCTCTCAGGATTCATGATGTAAAAGTAATAGTTCAGGCGCCTGGGTGGCTCAGTGGGTTAAAGCCTCTGCCTTCGGCTCGGGTCATGCTCCCAGGGTCCTGGGATCGAGCCCTGCATCGGGCTCTCTGCTCAGCAGGGGGCCTGCTTCCTCCTTTCTCTCTGCCTGCCTGTCTGCCTACTTGTGATCTCTGTCAAATAAATAAAAGTAAAATCTTTAAAAAAAAAAAAAAAGTGATAGTTCGGATAAATAAACTTGATTCCATGGTTCTTCAAAACTGTCTCTACTACTTAATCCAGAAGAGAAATACTCAGCTCTTTGCCCTAATTTCATGTAAGCATTTGGCTCCTTGAATTTTCCTCACTTTACCTTTCCATGGGGTGTTTAATTATGAAGTGGTGTAATTTTATTTGTATACCTACTTTTATCTTTCTACTTCATCTGCAGCTATATGATTGTTAACCTTCTTAAGTTATGTATTTCAGAGCATATGGACTCCTTCATATAATTTGGCACATGCAAATAAATACAAGACAGTGCTTAAAATTGGGCCTTAAAACCTTATGGGAGCAGTAAGTTAACTTATACCTGTTAAACACTGTTAAAATGTAAGTAAGTCCTAGCATCCATGACTAGAGGTAGGAACACCTCCTTCACCTTGCCCCCAGCCCCTGCACCGCCCCGGGAGCAGTGAGGTCGGTTGTTCGAGAGAACAAGCCTTGAGGGTTCCTTCCGTCTATGTGTGGTGTCCATGGCTGTGGTATTCTGCACACAGGAAGGATCTGTATGACCGGAGCATCTGACCTCAGTTGACAGACTCAGCAGGGCAGTCTTTCTCTTGCTGGCATGTGCCTTAGTGTGCTTTGCTGGAAGAGCCTTCAGGACAGAAGGTTCTTTTCATACCTTCTCCAACCAAGGCATAATGAACACAACTTAACCTTCTCTTGATGAATTCAGAAACTTAGGAGAAGCGGTTTTGTATTGTACTTTAATGTAATGATGTGATACTCTTTTTTTTTTTTAAGATTTTATTTATTTGACCCAAGGATAAAGAAAAGCATGTATTTCAGAGATGAGGAAGAACTGATTAAAATTATATTATTTAAATATCGTTAAAAATTTTTGTTAAATCTTGGGGTACCAAGTTCAGTTGAAATTAAAGATTACTTTTAGAATTTGAGCATAAAAAACACTTAGTACCAAATAATTTTTTTACTATAAAATAGGTTCATAGGGAATTGAAAGTAATTTTAAAGTATCATGTTTCTATCTTGCCTTAGCAGAGTAATAAAAATCAAGATTTGCTAGTAACAATTAATTTTGAAAACAATTCATTTGAATTAAAAACAAATCTTTCTTTTTTTTTTTTTTAGATTTTATTTATTTATTTGACAGACAGATCACAAGTAGGCAGAGAGGCTGGCTGAGAGGGGAGGAAGCAGGCTCCTCGTGGAGCAGAGAGCCCAATGTGGGGCTCGATCCCAGGACCCTGGGATCGTGACCTGAGCCGAAGGCAGAAGCTTTAACCCACCGAGCCACCCAGGCACCCCTGAATTAAAATAAAAAACAAATCTTAATACTATCATAGTACTGCCAAGAAGAAAGACCAATATTAAAAAGATGTGTTTGAGAAGCTCATTATAAAAGTTTATTCACATATGATTGGTTTACATGAAGACATTTGAAGTAAATTTCATCTTTAAGACAAAAACTTCATGAAGACTGTGGAAAATGCTGACTGGTTTATCGTTGTTAAATGTTAATAAAATTTTGAAGAGAATTTTGTTTTAAAAAGAAAAGAATTTTATTTATTTGAGAGAGAGCTTGTGCAAGTGGGGGGATGAGCAGAGGGAGAGGGACAAACAGACTCCCCTCTGAGCGAGAAAGCCGAAGGTGGGGCTTGACTTCCTGACCTAAGCCTAATCAGACGTTCAAGACTGAGCCACCTGGGTGCCCCTGTAATTATGTAATATTCTTGAAATTTTTTGAAGCTTTTAGGAATCATTGACATAACCTTATTTAACCCCTTTTGGTGTTAAATAGAATATGAGTTCCTGTGCCCACTTCTTTATATTTCTTAATTGGCTTATTACGTTGTTACCTATCTTTTCTTGCTCTTTGTATCTGTGTCTAACACTCTCCTAAGTTAATACTCTTGGCCCAGGTTTTTAGAGTTGGTTTTTAAGAATTTTGTGTGAAATGAGAACCTCTCAGGGACAAATGTTGGTAAATGAATTTTAGCTTAAAGCATAGACTTTGCAGTAAGTATTCTTAGCTATTCAGACCTCAGACTTACTTCAAAAGTTATCATTGTGCAAAGCTGGTGATTTGGGCAAAGTAGAGAGTATTTTTACTTTGAATTGTGCCAGTGTGCTTTAAAGAATCCTAACAAGTAATTTGGAGAGTAACAATTAAATGCCTCTTTTTACCTTTTGGTAGGTTTTTGTTGTTGTTGTTGTTGTTTTACGTTTGATTTATTTAAGTAATCTCCACACCCAACGTGGGGCTTGAACTCACAACCTTGAGATCAAGAGTTGCATACTCTTCCAACTGAGCCAGCCAGGCATCCTTACTCTTTGGTAGTTAGTGAGTACATATTATCTGTTGGAGATTTTATATTTAATGATATAATAATACCTAAAGTCCTGGCCAGGTTGTCATGAAATAGAAATTGAAATTGGTGGGTCACTCAAGAGGAAGTAAGATTGGTAGTTGTTTAATAGAAATTATTCTAGAAGGTTATTATAAATTTGTTTTATTTTTCTGTTTTTATTAACTTATGGCTGATGTAGATCTCCCAAGTCCCTGGGAAAATTCTGAAGATTAAGTAGTTCTTACTGACATTGACCTTTTCAATGTGATAGCTGCCTTGAGTTTCCTAGAGGGAACACTCACTTGTCTTCTGCCAGAGAATGCATGAGGACTTACACAGTAAAAGGGAAGTTGTAGGATGAAGCGTATTATAAACCATTTCCGTAGCAGAAATTTATCAGTAGGCGAAGTCATGATAAATTGGAATAAGTATTTTTGTATTGTTTGGACTTGACCAAATAGTGCCAGTGAAAAGTGTTGTTTCTTGTTCCTTTGTGGACAAATACAGACTTTTCAGTTCCTGAGGAAAGGAATCACTTTTGCGAGTATATTGGTTTCCTGCTGCTACTGTAGCATTTTGCTGTGGACTTAGGGTATAAAACAGTGCAAGTCTATTCTCTTCCAGTTCTGGAAGACAGAAGTCTGAACTGCACTTCACAGGGCTGGTTCCTTCTAGAGGCTCCAAGGAAGAGTCTGTTCCTTTGCCTCTGCCAGCTTCTGGTGGCTGCCGACGTTCCTGACATGTTGCCAAGTCACTCTAGTCTCTACTTCATACATCACTGCCTCTTTCTGTAATCCCCTTCTGCCCCCTTTGTAAGGACACTTGTGGTTGCATTTAGGGCCCACCCAGATAATCCAGGAAAATTTCTCCCATCTCAAAATCTGTAATCACATTCATGCAAAGTTCCCTTCTGCTCTAGGAGGGAACATTGACGTATTCCAGGCATTAGGACATGGACATCTGAATCTTTGCAGGCCGTTATTCAGTCTGCCACAGGGAATGGTTTCTCCTCGTGTGTCTCCTTCCTGACAGGCTCTTCTCCTCCCCCTGCCCCAACACCATCTCTCCCTCATCCCTTGCTTTCCTTAAGTTTTTTAAGCTGAGTAGTATCTTACCTTACAAGCTTCTGGCTTGTCTCTGTCATCTGTGAAAGCTAGTCTGGTCTCAGGCAGATGGAACCTTAGTTCATGAGCACTGTACGGTCTTTAAGGGAATGAAATCAGACTGGGAGGGCGACAGAGTCCTGGATAGGGAGTAGTACTAGGTTTCAGTGTCAACTCTTCCATTAAACCATGTAATTTTGAACATGTTCCTTAAACTCCAAAGTCTTTTTTTTCCCATAAGTGAAATATTTCTTAAAGCTTTAAATTATTTTAAATTCTTGTCTTTTTCATCAAGTTAATATTGAAGGCTAAACACTGAAGACTTCAGTGCCTTCTGGTTATTTTAAAGGTATAATTAATTGTCTTCTAAATTTATTTGATTTCCAGAATTATATAACCATGGTTTTTTTTTTCTCCAGCCATTTATGCTATTTTCCTAGGTATCTGATTTGACATGTGAAGTATTGTGTGGTTTCGATTAACAGGAGGATCGACTTTCTGTGGCATCGCATCACTGTGTCTGATGGGTAAACTAGAAGAAGTTTTCTCAGAAAAAGAATTGAACCGGATAAAGAGATGGTGTATAATGAGGCAACAGAATGGTTATCATGGAAGACCTAATAAGCCCGTAGACACCTGTTACTCTTTTTGGGTGGGAGCAACTCTAAAGGTAAGAGAAAGAATAAAATTGAGAAACCTATACTCTATTGATACAAACTGTGCTTCAAAAGGTTTGGTCTTTGTAATGTTCATTGAGTACCGTGGACTTAGGCTGCTGAGTGTTTTCTGTTGCTCTGGCAAAGCTAATCTCTGTATGGTTTTTCCATAGATTTCACGTATCCGTTGTGTACTTGAAAATTGCCATTCTAATAAAACTTAAGTGGCCCAGAGCATACATAAGAAAGGATAAGGTTGTAAAAAATCTTGTTACCAAAACTGACCGGTAGTCAATCTAGAGCAGGGATCTGTCTGAATATAACAGTAAAGGCTTTATAGGAAATTAATATTCTTAAAAGATAAACCATGGGTATTTCTTTGAAAATAGTTTGTGGTTTTTAATTTTTTATTGATTTGTTTGGCTAACCCTTCTGAATGACTCAACTGATTGACACATTTGCACATTTCTCTTCATCTCTTACCTTGTGACATGCCCAATTTCATAAGCTTATTAACCACTAAATACCCTCAAGTTTGTTCTGTTTTTTTTTTTTAAGATTTTATTTATTTATTTGACAGAGAGAGATCACAAGTAGGCAGAGAGGCAGGCAGAGAGAGAAGGGGAAGCAAGCTCCCCACTGAGCAGAGAGCCCGATGTGGGCCTTGATTCCAGGACCCTGAGAGCATGACCTGAGCCGAAGGCAGAGGCTTAGCCCACTGAGCCAGCCACCCAGGAGCCCCTCTTGAGTCTTTTCAATATGACCTTGGTAGTCTTTGAGAACTTTCTGAAAGCAACCATTTTTACACATTTTAAAAATTCTTAATTCGCTATCACCATAAGTTTAACTGATTTTTTTATTGTTGTTTTTAGAAATATTTTCTATTTTATTTTTTTAACTAAGTTCTGCACCCATCATGGGGCATGAACTCATGACCTTGAGATCAAGAGTCACATGCTCTACTGACTGAGCCAGCCAGGGACCCCAACTTTCAGTGATTTCTTTTTTTTTTTTTTTTTTTTTTTTTAAGATTTTTATTTATTGATTTGACAGACAGAGATCACAAGTAGACAGAGAGGCAGGCAGAGAGAGAGAGAGGGAAGCAGGCTCCCTGCTGAGCAGAGAGCCCGATGCGGGACTCGATCCCAGGACCCTGAGATCATGACCTGAGCCGAAGGCAGCGGCTTAACCCACTGAGCCACCCAGGCGCCCCTTTCAGTGATTTCTTAACTTCTCTTTAGACATATCTTTGATTCCCAACTATGGAGAATGAAGATTTAACCTCCCTTTTTTCAAGCAGATTGTTACTGGTTATATAGTTTTTAGTTCTGAACTTTTTCTCTTCCTCTTCCACCTTCTAATTCTGTCATATTACCTTTACTTTTATAATGTCAAGTTAAGTAGCATTTATATTTTATTTAGTAATAATGTTCACGTATTTTATTCTTTGCCTGTAAGTTGATTCTAAAATTTAAAAACCAAGAATCAGCACTTAACTATGATCATGTAAATACTGTTTATTGCTGAACCAAGTACAGTCTTAAGATTATAGTTTCTTCTTACGTAATGGCCCATATGCCACTTGATGGAACATGTTTCTAGCTGATGGATTCTAAAGGGTCTCTTTCCTTTTTATTGTATTGACTAAACTAAAATGAATTAATAAGTTTGTTTCTTACTTGTATCGTAATTCTTTTAGGCGTTGTTTTTCTTTTTGAGAAATAATGCTTCTTTTTTTTTTTTAAGATTTTATTTAATTTGACAGAGATCACAAGTAGGCAGAGAGGCAGGCAGAGAGAGAGAGGGGGAAGCAGGATCCCTGCTGAGCAGAGCGCCTGATGTGGGGCTTGATCCCAGGACCCTGGAATCATGACCTGACCTGAAAGCAGAGGCTTAACCCACTGAGCCACCCAGACCCCCGAGAAATAGTGCTTCTTTAATCATTCGTATAGTGCTTCTTTAATTGTTCGCATCTTCTGTGGCTCTTTGATTCATTAACATACTTTTAACTGCTCTGTGTCTTTTTTTTTTTTTTTAAGATTTTATTTTATTTATTTGACAGGCAGAGATCTCAAGTGGGCAGAGAAAGAGAGAGGGGGAAGCAGGCTCCCTGCTGATCAGAGAGCCGGATTCGGGGCTCAATCCCAGGACCCTGGGATCATGACCTGAGCCAAAGGCAGAGGCTTCAACCCACCCCTTGACTACTCTGTGTCTTAACAGAAATTTTTTGAACTCTCTTGTCTACCTGTCTTGTTTCACCCTCTCCCACACCACTTTTCATAGTTTGGTTTATCCTTTATTTTTTCCTATTTAATGGGATCTTGAGAGACAGAATAAATATATATCCTAAATTTTAAAGCTACATAGTTTTTTAATGCTAAAATTGTATTTGTCTCACCTTTTACCTTTCCTGATTAAAAAGCTACAATTTTTTTTAACTGTTCTCAAATAGAACTGTCTCTAATCATCTTGTTAATAATTTTTGTTGCTCTTTTTTGAAATATTTTTGGTTCAGGTTACTACCGGTCTATAAGTAATAGTTCAAAGGCCTATCATAAGAATTAAAATACAGTTAGATAAAATTGTCCTTTTTAAAATGATTGATTAAGTTGAACAGTTGACAGAGTTGTGTTTTGAACCAAGCTAAATGTGGTGCAATGGGAATAGTTGGGCATGGTTCAGAAGAAGGAAATAGTGAGTAGGATAGGTAAAGGAGAGTAGCTGTGATATGACAAAAATAATAATAATGTGGTTGATTGATTCTAACTGCTGAAGTCTCCAGAGGCTTGCTTTGAGAGCCTTAGCTAAAGAAAAGCATATTTAATTGATGTATAACTGAAAATTGAGCCAAAGGTCAATATGAAAGTTTGATATCAGTAAATTTATATTTGTTCTGTCATTTTAGCTTCTGAAAATTTTTCAGTACACCAACTTTGAGAAAAATAGAAATTACATCTTATCAACTCAAGATCGCCTGGTAGGTGGATTTGCCAAGTGGCCAGATAGTCATCCAGGTAATTTATTTTTTGTATGAATCTAGAACAACTTTATTTTGTTTCTTTCTTGAGTAGACTCTCAGGCATCTTTGCAGTAAGGGCATAAGATAGAAAATTTAACTACAGTTGTAAACTTAAAGAATATGTTTTTTAAAAAGGTATTTTTTAAGTTTAGGGGAAGTTTGGCATGTTGAGGGGTATAAAGGAAGGGTTGGATTGTCAAGATGTATTGCTATAGTATGCCTTTTTTTCCATATATTTTGCTTACCCATGTTTTATTTCATTTGAGGCAATGAGGCAGGTGGTTTCAATGGGACCAGTCCAAAATAGAGAATCATTTGGTCCAGTCAGAATCTTTAGGATTATTACCTGTCACTGGAGCTAGGTAAAATGAACTACTAAGTCCAGAAGGGAACCTGTTCTTAATCTGTTCAGAAGCCATTAAATAAATTTCTCTAATTCTGAAGGTAGTTGTCTGTCACTATCCATACCCTTGTTCTCTGAATTTTAGCAGATTCGGGTTGTTTTTTTTTTAGAAGGATACTTTGCCAATCTGAACTCTTATTCACTGTCTACAACTCGGGAGCCAGATAGGTTCAGACAATGTGATATTCATTGCTTTCCAAACTCAGGAATGGCAGAGAAGTAAAGAACAAAAGATTCTTAGATTTAATAAGTACAGTTGATCCTTGAACCACACAGGTTTGAATTGTGCCTATCCACTTATAAATGGATTTTTTCCGATAAATATTATATTATACTATAAATGGATTTTCTCTTCAGTGCTTTTCATTTCTAAAGCCAAAGAATGTTTTTTCCAGTTTTATTAAGAAATCCTTGACCGACATCACTGTGTAAGGTAAAAGCACACAGCATGATGGTTTGATGTACATCTGTTGTGAAATGACTACCAGAGTAGGCTCAGCTAGCACCTGTCTCCTCACAGCGATACGGAAGGAAAGAAGGCAGTAGTAAAAGGCAAACAATTTATTTTTGTGATAAGTCTTAGGATTAACTGTCCTAACATGTTTCCTGTATATCGTACAGCAGGGTGAGCGGTAGTCTTACGTTGGGTATTACACCTCCAGTACTTACTTATTAGTGGAAGTTTGTTCCTTTCAACCCCCTTCCTCCAGATCCCCCTCCCCCGACCCTCACCCCCACTAAGCACAAGTCCAGGCTCTTTTTCTATGAGTTTGGTTTTTGTTTTTGGTTTTTAGATTCCACATATAAGTGAGATCACACAGTATTTGTCTTTGCCTGACTTATTTCACTTAGCATCACACATCTTCAAGGTCCATCCATGTTGTTGCAAATAGTTGGATTTCCTCATTTTTATGGCCAAATCATGTTCCATTGTGTATGTATCTACCACAAATTCTTTATCCATGTATCAGTCGGTGGACACTCAGGTTGTTTCTGTATCTTGGCTATTGTACATAATTCTGCTGTGAACATGGAGGTGTCGATTCCAAGTTAGTGTTTTCATTTCCTTTGGGGACATTACTGAATCATATGGTAGTTCTGTTTTTAATTTTTGAGGCTTCTCCAGGCATTTTTCCGTAGGGGCTCTGCCAGTTGACATTCCCGCCAACAGTGCATGAGGGTTCCCTTTCTCCACATACATGCTGGCATTTGTTATCACTTGTCCTTTTGAAGATGGCCATTCTAGCAAGAGTGACATAGTATCTCCCTGTGGGGTTTTTTTTTTTTTTTTAAGATTTTATTTATTTGACAGATCACAAGTAGGCAGAGAGGCAGGCAGAGGGGAAAGCAGGCTCCCTGGTGAGCAGAGAGCCCGATGCAGGGCTCGATCCCAGGACCCCAAGATCATGACCTGAGCCAAAGGCAGTGGCTTAATCCACTGAGCCACCCAGAGATCCCCTCTCCCTGTGGTTTTAATTTGCATTTCCCTCATAGTTATTGATGTCCTGCATCTCATCATGCACTGGTTGGCCATTTATATATCTTCTTTGGGTTACTTGGGTTTCTTTTTTTCTGTTGAGTTATGGGAGTTCTTTCTGGGTTTTTTTTGTTTGTTTGTTTTATGTTCTAATTTCTAAAGCAAAATAAAATTTTTAAATTTTGCTATGTGTTACCATAGCTAGAAAAATCTTAGGGCAGTACCTCAAGAAAACTGAGAATTGTCTTGACAACATTGTTTTTCATCAGAGCTTGTACTATTTTAATAAATACTGTACTATTTTAACAGATGGGAATAGGGAAATGACAATATCTTGGAAAACTTGTCTGGTATAAACATACTGAAATACATTTTCAGTATTTACAATAGATATTTTTTAAGATTTCTTTATCTTAGCAAGTGTGAGTGGGGGGAGGGGCAGAGGGAAAGAACCTTCAAGCCGACTCCATGCTGAGTGCAGGGCTCACGAGGGGCTCGATCTCACTACTCCTGAGACTTATGACCTGAGCCAAAATCAAGAGTCAGATGCTTAACCAACTGAGCCACCCAAGCTCCCCAGAATAATTTTTTTTTTTTTTAATTCTTGAAGGTTTTTTCTGGCACTTAGTTGCTAACTTTAACATATATGTAAGTACTTGGATGTAATACTTTTTACAGATATAGTAAAATGTCTTCAGAACCTGTAAACTGCAGAGGATAGAAAGTCTGTGTATCATAAGTTGAATTTATGTGGAAAGGCCTTTTTAATAGGACCTTTGGGGAAATCATTTTTTAAGAGTTTTTAAAATTAGCATATTCTTGGTTCTAGTTAATTTAGTAGCAGATTTAACACAAAGTAATTCTTATATATTTACAGAAGAAACTTAGGAAAATAATGCACTTCTATTATGAAGAACCAAATATTTCAGCATTTGATATGCTTGAATACACCTACAGATAAGGAAGCTTAAAAAAAAAGCTTTGAGCTTTGGAACAATTAAGTTCTGGTTCATTGGCTTTTACAAAAAGCTTTTTGAGGAAAAAAAATGCTTTATTTTTACATTATGTGGAAAGTAGAAGATCCTATTTATGTTATCCTGGATGGATTTTATTTCTCTTTTAGTTGCATTTTTTCCTAGAAAAGTTTCCTCATTCTAGTCAATAAAATACGTTGCTTTGTACCTTCTGTAATTTTAGAATAACTACAAGGAAAATTTCATAATACAGGGGAAATCAGATTTATTTTTTGTGGTCTGAAAATGAGAGAAAAGTGAGCCAGAGGAAACCTAAGCATTCTCTTGAGAGGCCATGAAGGAGGATTGACATGGGCCTCCACTACTGAGCTAAATTTTTCAGAAATAATCTTGACTAAGTACAACTGTCTATCCCTCTGTTTTGAAAAGTAGATGATGGTCATGTAAGTAAAACTTCCTAATTTTCCTGACAAAGTTTAAGTCAGTAACGTGTTCTGAACTTCAGTAGCTCCTGAGGCCATAAATGATGGCCAGCACAAAAAAAAAAAAAAAAAAAAAAAATGATGGCTAGGAAAAATGCCTGATGGCTACAAAATATATTTTTTTGTAGTATGCCCATAACGGCAGAGCTCTGAGCTCTTCAGAGTCCATATATGGCTGTCCAGCAGGCAGCAGCCATGTGATTCTTGTGGCCACTTGAGTGGAAGAGGGTCACTGCCCCCTGAAAGACAGGGAACAGTAGTGAGGCCAGTATAGAAGAAAGGTTATGGTATTTATAACCACAGAGAATGTGAGTTTGTTTTTACTGTCAGGTCAGCCATTTTTTGGATGACTGACATTCCCCTAAATAGGAAAACTAAATTTGGTACAGCATTCCATAACGGATTATTCCATTTAGGCATCTTTCACCGAACACAGTAGTGAGGTAGTATTGATCACGGAAATGTCAGAGGTAAAATTTAGTGGGAAGGGATATTGCTACTTAGAGTCAGAGGTTTATTTTCATTTTTCAGGAAAATTTTTCCTTTTATGATACAGAGCTAAAGCCTCTTGTTTCTGTATTGTGTAGGAAGCAAAGGGGAAACACCCTAAGTGAGAAATCTTGTATTACTGCTACTCTACTTTGTTTTTGAATCACAGAGGATGTTGAGAATGTCACCTTTTCATTTGAGAACTATTTTCCTTTGTTAATGATATTTGCTTGGATAAAATATCTGATTTTGATCATCTGTGTTTTTTTTTTTAATTAGTGTTTTGAGACTTTGAGAAAGCACATGTTTCAAAACCTGTACTTAACATTTTTCTAAATTTAATTTTAATGTGGTGAATAGATATGTAGCTATGGTACTTTGCAGCATGTACAAATAAGAATGCCTATTATGATAAAAAAAAATACCTCATTTTCAGATGCTTTGCATGCATACTTTGGGATCTGTGGCCTGTCACTAATGGAGGAAAGTGGAATTTGTAAAGTTCATCCTGCCCTGAATGTAAGCACACGGACTTCTGAACGCCTTCGAGATCTCCATCAGAGCTGGAAAACCAAGGACTCTAAACAGTCCCCAGAGAATGTGCACATCTCCACATGACTGACTTCACTTAGGTTGGGAGGGTGGGGGGATTTGTAGCATAACTGTAGCTCAAGGTTAAAAGCCATGTATAACCAAGTGTGCTCTTTTTCTAAGAGGTAGTCTCACAATCAAATCTCGTGCCGATGTCACTTTGGAATATGGTCTTGAGCCAGTAACCTTTGTACTGGGTTTCAAGAAAACCTTTGTTGAAGTTGGAACCACAGTGGACTCTGTTGTGGTTCTTAAATGTTTATACTGTATTTCTAAGAAGTTCTTTGAGGCAAATTAACTATATGTATGTAGGTTATCTTTTTAAAAAACTCTTCAGTACAAATTGTATCATACTATAAAGTGGACACAAATCTTCAAAACAAGTTTACAGTTCACTTAGCATTGATAATCTTTGGGTGAACACTTAGGGATCATTTAAAAAGCTTAATAGCTGATGGTAGAAAATTGCTTTAATGAATTAAGTATCTAGGATTCTTCTTTGAAAACAGATGGTTCCATAATTTTTAAAAAGAAGAATGACTTATTTTGGCTTATTAAGTGTGCCAGTTAAACTTATGTGGCCTATATAAATGAAATTAACTTCATAGCAAGGATGAATAGGCTTAACTAATACAGTAATTTTCTAAAAGGACATTGATTTAAGAAGACTATTATATAATTGAGGGAAAAATAATTTAACTGTATGTGATTGTGAATGAGAAAGTTTTGTGCTGTGTGGGTCACTTACTTAGATGTTGTGAGGGTGAATAACAGCTGTGTCTGATTTTTTAATTTCATTAGTTGCTTTTTCTTCTTTCTGGGGAGAAAATAGTCACCTAGAAGGAAAGAGACATTGAGTGATTTGGTTTATTTTTCTGAAATACGTGCTATTGTAAATTATACTTGTACTTTTATAAGGGAGTTTTTTTTAGCCATTTGGTTTTTTTTAGTTTGTTGTGTCCAATGTGTTAGTGGTTCTAATTTCAAAATGACAATTTTCTAATTTTTTCAAAATAAGTAAAACTCTCAGTAAAAAACAAAACCACTAAAGTAAATTTAATGGTGCAGCTCCATACATGGTCATTTATATTTTTATATTTTCAGGTAAGTGGAAGGGAAGTGTTCTGTTAGGTGTTAAAGGGTGTCACTTTTGTTCTTTTTGTTTTGTTCATTCTGTGAACTAGCTAATTATAAAGGAAATAGTGTAAAAACTCATCTTCATTAGTAACCAATTTATCAGTAAATCACATCCATCACTGTTGTTGAATGTCGTTTAGAGATGTGAGACAAGTACTGAAATGGAGAAGAAAATCTCTTCACTGCAGGAGCTGGGTTAAAGTTAAAAGTCTTGGTGATAATAAATGTGGAACTATTCTACAGCTATGAGTGTAAAAACTAAATTACTAGTATAACTGTTTAGGAATTATAATATATAAATTTTAATTTCTTTCCTAAATTTTAGGGGGAAATGCCCTTAAATAATGATCCTTCCAAAGGAAAATCTGGTATGTGCTTGGGAAAAGCATTTTGTTTGTATGTGCTTGGGAAACACATTTGTTGGATCCTTAGTTCTAAAACTCCTCTTGCCAGAGTCAACTTTATTATTTTTTTTATTAGAAATAAAATCCGTTTTCTGATTGTGGGGAAAATATAAGCTTAACAGCAGATGTTATCTTTCAGCAAGTTATTTCAGTTGCTTCTATTTAAGTCCTGGCAAATTAAGACATCCCTATCTCAAACTAAGTCCACTTCCTAGACTTGGGGAGTTAAAATAGCCTGTATGGAATGGCTTTAGAGCTATTATAAAAAACCCAGATTGTTTTTCTTGAATTGCCACTAGCAGTTAGAAGAAAGTTAGTAATAATAGTAACCATATCCGCAAACGGAAGAGAATTCCAAGTTTAAAAGTATTTCATAGAACTATTTTTTTTAAAGATTTTATTTATTTTATTGACAGAGAGAGAAAGATCACAAGTAGGCAGAGAGGCAGGCAGAGAGAGAGGGGGAAGCAGGCTCCCCACTGAACAGAGAGTCTGATGCGGGGCTCGATCCCAGGACCCTGAGATCATGACCTGAGCCGAAGGCAGAGGCTTAACCTGCTGAGCCACTCAGGCACCCCATTTCATAGAACTATTAAGAAATATTTCCTAACTCCTATAATTTAATAGTATAAGACTATAAATTACAATATGATTCAAATTGGTACACATGTGAGGGGCCTTTTTATGAAATCTTGTGGCCCAGTTGAGTGTTTATCTTCTATCGTGTGCCAACCAAAACACACAGGCCAGAGAACTGCAGAGAAATGACTCTTGTTTCTAAACAGTTATTTACAAGAGCAGTATTTATTAATAGACTAAATTATAAGTAATATTTCACATACTTATTCTTTGGCAGTGGTATCATAACGAGCAGGGAAATAGGAAGTCCAGAATCTCAAATAATTCTATGTTCTGCCCCCACCTTCATTATGGTATTTTTCCGAAGTTAGTAGGAGAAGCTTTGTTTTGAGCATTTGCATAAAAATAAGATTAATCAGATCATACAACACAGTTCAAGTATTCATCATCTACAGTGTTTTTAGATTTGACCTGTAATATGTATACATTGTTGTTAGATCGTTAAATAGTTAATACTTAATTTCAGTTCACATAGAGGTTTTGCTTACAGTGGTCCCTAGTTTGGAAATGGTTGGATATGATGATACTTGAGAGTCTCTTATGGAAGGAGGTGCTTTGGGGTCTGTGACTTAGGTTTAAATCCCAGATCTGCAAGTCGTGCAGTGTGATCTTGGGCCCTAACTTTCCCATCCATAAAGTCAGGGAGGGGTGCCCGACTCCTGAGGTTATTCAAGGTTGAAATACAAAGCACTTGGCACATAGGACCTGAAATACAGTAAATTCCTAATTAAAATTTCTATCCTAACCATCATAAAATGATTGTTACTAAAATCTCTCTTCAGTAATAGAGATCCCACAGGGGTTAAGCTCGGGGACAATGATGGCAACAGTGTACTTCTGAATCTTCCAGCCAGAATACAGAGTAACCAGTGTAGCCCCAGAACCGGTTCTACAAAACTAGATGACCGTTGTCCCCATGAACTTCAAAGTACAAGTAAGGAAGGACAGACCACTGGCCGACACAGTTTCATCATCTGTGTGTGGGGATGGGGAGCGTAGGCAGCTATGTTCTGACAGCCCCCCCCCACCCCCATTTTTCAGCCAACTGGCAGGGGCCAGTCAACAGAAGCTGGAACTGGGCAGGCTTCGACAAGTTCCATTTGCAGGGGAGTGTCATGGCAATGTAGCCAGGTCTGATGAGTGTGCCCAGTGCTGTACATGTTTCACAGCTGATGAGACAAAGCCTAGCCCTGAGGAGAAACTGCTAGAATTAGGATTTCAGCCTGACAGGACAGGTACGATAGGGCAAAGAAAAGAGAAGTCCTGGTAAACATTGGGAAGGAAGGTCAGTAGCAATGTCCTGTCACTTTGTGGAAATGAAAAGGGAGCTTCAGAGCAGTGGAGCTAAGAAAAGTCCTCGTAGAGCACACCTCTTCCAAAAAGTACAGGAAAAATCTCTTCCAAAGAAAAAACCAAAACAAAACTGTGAGGATTACAATCAAATCTCATCCAGAAGTTAGAAGAAATAAGAGAACAAGCAAGGCAGCATCCCCGAAGACAGGGAGAGCACACCAGAAAGATATGACCACGAGGCTGATGCAGGCCTCAATCTTTGTTTAAAAAGCATTTATGACAGGAAATGTATAGTGTTTAGAACTGTATCATTAAAAATGGGAGAAGCTGAAAATCATACAACCAAGCCTTAAAAACTGGAGGAATAAAGCAAACCAGAAGGAAACAGAAGGAGGAAATTGTAAAAAGGGAGAGAGGGAGTGAATTTAAATAGACAAACCACCAGCTAACCCATTCAAGAAAAAAGAGAGGACAGAGAAAAACACATTGAAATGACAACGGGAGAAATAAAACAGGAAATTTTTCAAAGTTACAAGACTAATTTTATATAATAAATTAGAAAAATAACTGGCCTAGAAAAATGCAGATTGCTGGGGTTTACCCTCATAGACACAGAAATTTAAACCAATTACCATAGAAGGAACTAATAAAGGACTCCTTATCAGAAAATTGTAAGGCCTTGATTATTTCAAGGGATTTCTGCTAAACCTTTAATACAATGTTGTTGATACAATTCCAGAAGTTAGAAAAAGAATCTTGAACCTAAAAGTGCCAAAAAAAATTTTTAAGACTTCTGAATTGATTTTATAAAGTGAGTACAATAGCGTTTCTAAAACTTGACAAAAGATTGTACCAAAGAGGAAGTTATAGACCACTCAAAATATGCATTGTGTGTTTGTATTCGCAAACACTCCCAACAGCACTTTAAAGAAGTAGTAAATCATGACACCGTTGGGTTTGTTACAGGAATGCAGGGATAATTTGGTAGTAGACAATCCACTAATATCCATCGTATTAAAAGAGTTAAGGAGAAACTCATTCTCCATTTTTCAGAAGAGGCATTTGGCAGAATTGAGACTTCAGTCCATGCTGAATGTACTCAAAAAACAGAAACCAATGAGTAAGTCGTTTACATTGTACCTCTGCCCAAATGCCGGCGTCTCAACATCGAAACAAAAGAGGCTTTCCACGAAGTGAAACAAGATGTACCTCTATCTCTGTCTACCACTTAACATTGTATTGGTTTTAGCCAGTACTGTTTGACAAAACAAAGCCATGTGAATTTCACGGAAAGGAGGAAGTATTTGCAGATACACATATCTGGAAAACCTGAAGAAATTAGTAAGAGAACTTGACTAAAGTAGCAATTACAAATAAACATTCAAATATCATACTTGCATTTAAGCGTCAGCACTCGCCAGACACAAAAGAGCGTATGTAACTGACTCTCCATTTCAATGAAGTTCAAAACAGGCAAAATGTATCTATAGATGGCAAAAATCAGCATCGTCTTTCAGTCACTACCCCGCTCGCCCAGGGTAAGCACTATCATGA